CCGAGGGGGGTCGCAGCCCCGAGGGGGGTCGCAGCCCCGAGGGGGGTCGCACCCGCGAGGGGGGTCGCAGCCCCGAGGGGGGTCGCACCCGCGAGGGGGGTCGCAGCCCCGAGGGGGGTCGCACCCGCGAGGGGGGTCGCACCCCCGGAGGGGGGTCGCACCCGCGAGGGGGGTCGCACCCGCGAGGGGGGTCGCAGCCCCGAGAGGGGGTCCTGGGTCCTGGGGTCCTGGTGTCCCGGGGGTCCTAGGGTCCTGGGGTCCTGGGGTCCTGGGGTCCTGGGGTCCCGGGGGTCCTGGGGTCCTGGGGGTCATCGGGGTCGTGGGAATTTTCGGGAGGTTCTGGGGTCATCGGGGTTCAGGGGGGTCATCGGGGTCCTGGGGTCCGGACCGGAGGGGAAAGGGGTTCGGTTCGGTTCCCGTCGGTTCGGTTCAGGGGCCGCCCGGTTCCGGTTCGGCTCCGGTTTTGGTTCGGTTCGGTCGGTTCTCGCCGGTTCGGTTCTGAATGAATTCGGTGCGGTCCGGTTCGGTTTTCTACGTTCCTGGTTTTGGACCGGTTCGGTCCGGTTCGGTCACGGTTCTCGGTTCTCGGTTCGGCGCGGTCCCTTCATGGTTTGTGTTTGTGTGTGTTTGTGTGTGTCTGCGAGTTCGTGTGCTTGTGTGCCTGTGTGTCTGTGTCTCTGTGTGTCTGTGTGTTTGTCTCTGTGTTTCTGTGTTTCTGTGTCTCTGTGTTTCTGTGTTTCTGTGTCTCTGTGTCTCTGTGTCTCTGTGTCTCTGTGTCTCTGTGTCTCTGTGTCTCTGTGTTTCTGTGTCTCTGTGTCTCTGTGCCTCTGTGTCTCCGTGTCTCCGTGTCTCCGTGTCTCCGTGTTTCCGTGTCTCCGTGTCTCCGTGTCTCCGTGTCTCTGTGTCTCTGTGTCTCTGTGTCTCTGTGTCTCTGTGTCTCTGTGTCTCTGTGCCTCTGTGTCTCCGTGTCTCCGTGTCTCCGTGTTTCCGTGTCTCCGTGTCTCCGTGTCTCCGTGTCTCTGTGTTTCTGTGTTTTTTTGTGTCTTTGTGTCTCTGTGTCTCTGTGTCTTTGTGTCTCTGTGTCTCTGTGTCTCTGTGTAGCTGTGTCTCCGTGTCTCTGTGTCGCTGTGTCGTTGTGTCGCTGTGTCTCTGTGTCTCTGTGTCTCTGTGTCTCTGTCTTTGTGCCTCTGTGTCTCTGTGTCTCTGTGTCGCTGTGCCTCTGTGTCGCTGTGCCGCTGTGTCGCTGCGTCGCTGTGTCTCTGTGGCTTTGTGGTTCTGAGGCTCTCTGTGTCGCTGTGTCTCTGTGTCTCTGTGTGTATGTGTGTCTGTTTGTGTGTCTGTGTGTCTCGGGGTGTCTCTGTGTCTCTGTGTTTCTCTGTGTGTGTATGTCTGTGTGTCTGTGTGTCTGTGTGCCTGTGTCTCTGTCTCTCTGTCTCTGTGTGTCTCTGTCTCTGTGTGTCTCTGTTTCTGTGTGTTTGTGTGTGTGTGCCTGTGTGCCTGTCTGTGTGTCGGTCTGTGTGTCTGCCTGTGTGTATCTGTGCGTGTCTGTGTGTGTGTCGGTGTGTGTGTGTGTCTGTGCGTGTGTGCTTGTGCGTGTGTGTCTGTGCGTGTGTCTGTGTGTCTGTGTATGTGTCTATGTGTGAGTCTGTGTGTCTGTCTGTGTGTGTGTCTGTGTGTGTGCCTGTGTGTGCCTGTGTGTGTCTGTGTGTGTGTGTCTGTGTGTGTGTGTGTCTGTGTGTATGTCTGTGTGTGTCTGTGTGAGTGTGTCTGTGTGAGTGTGTCTGTGTGAGTGTGTCTGTGTGAGTGTGTCTGTGCGAGTGTGTCTGTGTGAGTGCGTTTGTGTGAGGGTGTCTGTGTGAGCGTGTCTGTGTGAGCGTGTCTGTGTGAGTGTGTCTGTGTGTGTCTGCGTGTGTCTGTGTGTGCCTGTGTGTGTATGTGTGTGTTTGTCTGTGTGTGTGTGTGTGTCTGTGTGTGTCGGTGTGTGTCGGTGTGTGTGTCTGTGTGTGTCTGTGTGTGTGTGTGTGTCTTTGTGTGTGCCTGTGTGTGTGCCTGTGTGTGTGTGGCTCTGTGTGTCTGTGTGTGGCTCTGTGTGTGGCTCGGTGTGTGGCTCTGTGTGTCTCTGTGTGTGTCTGTCTGTGTGTGTGTGCGTGTCTGTCTGTGCGTGTGTCTGTGCGTGTGTCTGTGTGTCTGTGTGTGCGTCTGTGTGTGAGTCTGTGTGTGTCTGTGTGTGTCTGTCTGTGTGTGTGTCTGTGTGTGTGTCTGTGTGTATGTGTATGTGCCTGTGTCTGTGTGTGTGCCTGTGTGTGCCTGTGTGTGCCTGTGTGTGCCTGTGTGTGCGTCTGTGTGAGTGTGTCTCTGTGTGTGTGTGTGTCTGTGTGTGTGCCTTTGTGTGCCTGTGTGTGTCTCTGTGTGTGTCTCTGTGTGTATGTGTGTGTCAGTGTGTGTGTGTGTGTCTGTGTGTGTCTGTGTGTGTGTCTGTGTGTGTCTGTGTTGTTGTTTGTGTGTCTGTCTGTGTGTCTGTGTGTGTGTCTGTCTGTGTCTGTATGTCTCTGTGTGTCTGTGTGTCTCTGTGTGTCTGTGTGTGTTTGTGTGTGTGTGTGTCTCTGTGCGTGTCTGTGTGTGTCTTTGTGTGTGGCTGTGTGTGGCTGTGTGTGTCTGTGTGTGTGCCTGTGTGTGTCTGTGCGTGTGTGTCTGTGTGCGTCTGTGTGAGTGTCTGTGTGTGTGTCTGTGTGTGTCTGTGTGTGTGTCGGTGTGTGTGTGTGTGTCCGTGTGTGTGTGTGTGTCTGTATGTGCGTTTGTGTGTCTGTGTGTGTGTCTGGGTATGTCTGTGTCTGTGTGTGTGTGTCTGTGTGTCTGGGCGTCTGTGTGTATGCGTGTGTCTGTGTGTGTGCCTGTGTGTGCCTGTGTGTGTGTGTGTCTGTGTTTGTCTGTCTGTGTGTTAGGGTGTGTGTCTGTGTGCGTGTCTGTGTGTGTGTCTGTGTGTGTCTGTGTGTGTGTGCCTGTGTGTGTCTATGTGTCTGTGTGTGTTTGTCTGTGTGTGTCTCTGTGTGTATGTGTGTGTGTGTCTGTGTGTGTGTGTCTGTGTGTGTCTGTGTGTGTCTGTGTGTGTCTGTGTGTTTGTCTGTGTGTCTGTGTGTCTGTGTGTCTGTGTGTGCCTGTGTGTGTGTCTGTGTGTGTGTGGCTGTGTGTGTCCGTGTGTGTGTCTGTGTGTGTTGACGCGGGGCCTACAAAAGGCTAAAAGAAGCCCCGCAGGGCTCAGACCCCACTGAAGGGGCCAAAGCCACAAAGGGGCCATCCCAAGACAGGGGGCGGGCCACAAGGGATCCCGAGAGCCCAGACGTGCCGCAGAAGGCGGCCACAAGGGCACATCGGCCCCGAGGCATCGCACGGCCAGTCGGCTCACCCCCCCGCCGAGGGGCATCAGCGCGAAGCGCTGGAATATATACAGCATTGCAGGCAGGACGCAGGGGGAGGACAGGAGGAGAGGCAGGCTGGCGCTTCACAGCCAGGAGCGCCCAAGGCACGGCCCGCGCACGCTCGCGCGGCCCAAGCGCCCCAAGGCTGGGGCCAGCGCGGTCCCAATCCCCTCCTCCACGGTCATCCCTGCGCCTCTTCCTGCTCTGGCGCTCACGACGGGCCTCGTCGGCCTCCCCAGCCCAGCTCAGCAGGCTCTCCTCGTCGAGGCCGTAAGCATCCAGCCAGGCCTGTCGCGATCCCGCTCCAGCCGCGGCGACGCCAGCCCCAGCGGGCAGCTCTGACGAGGAGGAGGCCGCCGCGCCAGCGCCGCCCCGATCAGCGCCTGCCGCCGCGGCGCTGGCCTCGACTCCTGCTGGGGCACCAGGCTGGACTCCGAGCCACTTCAGGAAGCGCACCCTGGCATCCAGCGGCACCTCGGCCTCCTTGCGAAGGCGGGGGGCCTCCGCCCCCTTCCCCCGCGCGTCGCGGGCGCGTGGCGTGCCCCCAGGATGGAGGTCACGCTCCCACTTGTCCCGCAGCGACCTGGGGAGGCCCGCTGAGCCAGGACAGCGCTCCCTGAGCTTGGGCTGCGGGCCAGGGCGTGCGCCAAGCCTCGCATGCGCTCCGCACCTGGTGCACGCAATGATCTCCTGCTGGTCGCCGTCCTCGCCGCACCTGGCGCGCGCGAGGGCGTGCCCCGCAACGGCGAAGACCAGGGCGCCCAGCGCTACTCCTCCGCCGCGCGCTGCCGAAGCCCAGGAGCCGACAGCGGCGGGGCGGCAGCCATCCTGTTCCCCATGGGCCCCCGCGGCGGCGGGCGGGGCGCCCGATCCGTTCGCGGGGGCCGCCCGCGGGCCGTCAGCGCACTCCTCCAGCGGGGCCGCGAAGGTGACAGCAGTCCTCCGCTCGTCGCCCTCAGGAAGGCCCTCGCAGTCCTTGGAGCCCCTGTCCTGCCAGATGATCGAGGCCTGCGCGATCCACCTGGAGAGCTCTCTCACGACCTCCATCGCGCCGAAGAACCCCCGCCTGGCCGCCGCGCTGACCCTGTGGAGGGCCGCCCCCGCCTTCGCCAACCTGTCGGCGTGGCCGTTCCCAAGCAACTGAAACTCCGAGATCCTGCCCTCGCGAACATCGATCTCGGTGCAGTGGGCCGCCACCTTGTTCACAATGAGCGAGTCGACGTCCAGCGAGGCGTAGACGGCCGACCACAGGTGTGCATTGGGCTTGTTGGCAGCCGTCGCATACTTCTTGCCAAGCTTCAAGCAGCTGACTGTGGACGCGCAGTCGATGTTGATCTCGATGATCGAGGGCCCGAGGTAGCGGCTCAGCATCCAGACCGCGAAGTCCTCGCCGTCCTTCGCCGTCTGGAAGGGGCACAGGTCGAGGCGGACCGTGCCGTGCACTGCCGCCTCCAAGTTGCCGAACTCGTCGCACTGCACGATACTCCAGCCAGCCCTGCGAATGCACTCGAACTCAGGGTCGAGCGCCGAGCCGTCGAGGAAGAGGCGGCCGCCTAGCAGCCCGTCGGCAGGCCTGTTCACCCACATGACTGCCATAGCGTCCGACCTCCAGGCCGTCTGCGGGGGCTGCGGCAGCCAGCACCTGGAGAAGCACCCCCCGGCTTCCTCACCTCGCTGCCTCACTCTAGTGGCGCAGCGGAGGAGGCGGGCTGACACCGAGTCCCTCCTCTCAGCGGCCAGGGCTTGGCACTCGAAGAGCCTGTGCCAGAGGCTGCCACGCACTTCGCCGCAGGCGCAGCATCGAGGGTGGCCCCGCTCACCAGCCGCGAAGAGGCGAGTCTGGGGCCAGTGGGCGTTGGACACGTAGCTCACCACCGCGGCCTTCTCCCTGCTGCTGAACCTGCCGCGCGGCCCGATGACCTGGCCGAGCGCGTCCCAAAACAAGGGCATGGAGGGGGCGGCTCCGTGCCCAAGCCGCGTCATCTCAGCTCTGTCGGAGGCCCTGCGTGCACCTGCCGCAGCCAGCAGCCCGAGCTCGCGGGGGCCCATGATCAGCATGTCCAAGGTGTGGCCGTCATCGGCGTGGAGGAAGTGCCCAGCCGAGAGGCGCCACCCAACCCGCAACAGAGAGAGGGCCAGGGCGTCGACTGGGTTCTTGCAGTTCACCCAGGGCACCCTGGCGCTGCCGTGCCTGCGCTCGGCCTCCTCCAGGCAGGTCGCGAACATCCTCAGGGGCACCTCGCCCGTCTGAAGGAGGCTGGCTGCCACCTGCACAGCGGCGCGCACCAGGGCTGGGCTCGGGTCCAGGTCGGCGGAGCGCTGCACCTCGATCGCCCTGAGCCTCAGCCCAAGGGAGGCGCCATTGGGAAGCTTCCCTGCCGAGCGCGCAGCCGCCAGGCGCCAGGAGTGAAGCTCGCCGTCCGGGCACCCCAGTGACCGCCCTGCCCCACAGCATGGCGGCGGTAGGGCCAGCGCGGTGAATGTGCACCACCGCGGCCCCCGCCGAGCCCAGGGTTCTCAGCCGCCTGGCGCGGGAAAGGCCTCCCACAGCGCGGGCACCTCCCTCATGGACCCCTCTGCGGGTCACGTTGGCGTCGGTGCCCAGGTTGCGGGCCTGGGAGCCACGCTTGACCTCGAAGCCGAGGGCGGCCCAGCTGGCGACGAGGCCGTCCGCAACCTGTGCAGACGAGGCCAGGAAAACCGACTTGCCCTCGTTGAGCGGGAGGTGGTGGGCCCGCAGGTGTCGCAGCACCTCCCCGCTGGCCCCCGCGAGCTGGTCCACGACCAGCCTCGCCGAGCCGACAGCTTGGAGCGAGACGTCGTCCACCAAATTGCGCAGGGTGGCAAGAGGCCGATGAGCCCCAGCAGCGAGGAGGCCTCCAAGAAGGGGAAGCTTCGCGACAGCCGTCGCATACGCGCAGCCCGCCAGCACTGCGCCACTGGCCCCAAAGGGGGGCGAAGCCACGCCACCCGCCAGCACGATCCGCGGGGCCTGGCAGATGGCGAGGAGGCCGCGCAGCAGCTTCAGGTTGAAGCCGAAACGCTGGGCTGACGTCCAGAGGACGTCGTGGCGCACATGCTCGTAGAACTTGCGGATGTCCAGGAACAGGCTGGCCACCTCGAAGTGCGGGGAGGCCATCGCGAAGCCCGCGAAGCAGTTGTGGATCCAACCCGCTCTTTCGCAATCGCGGCCATCGCGGCCCCAGAAGAAGGGGTAGCTGTGGTCTGACTCCCATCGGGCACAGCACGGCTGCCTCAGGCGAGACCAAAGCCGCAAGGCCAGCGGGGGCAGCGCGATGGGCCTGGTCTCTCCGTCGGCTTTAGGGATAAACACCATGAGCGCCACCTGTCCCCTGATCGAGGAAGGCTCGTCCTCGAACGCCGTGAGGATGTCGATCAGGCGAAGCTGCAGCGCCACTGGCAGCAGGAGAAGCTGGCGAGGGTGCATGTTGTCGCAGCCCAGCCCCACAGACGGGCCGTAGCGCTTGCAAGCCTGCTGCAATGCCTCCAGGGTAATGGGCGGCAGCGTCCAGGATCCAACATCCCACTGGTGGGCCCCGACTCCGCTGGAGAAGCCTTCCTGAGGCCAGAGCCGCTGCCACGTACGCGTGAGCTGGTCAACGGCGTCCATGCCGACGAGGGGCCTCCCTGCGTCGGCGTCCCTGGCAACAGGCGTGGGGGCCGCCTTGGAGAAGCGGTGGGCCAGGCGGCCTCCTTTCCCCACCGCCGTCTGGGCCCAACTGCGCCAAGCGGCAGCTCCTTCTGCGGCATCGCGCCTCTGTGACGCCAGGAGCCACGATTGTAGCTCGGCGATCGCCGTGGGGCAGCCCATCACCCCCGCGTGGAAGGCGACGTCCCCCCACTTCACGTCGGACGCCCCGAGGAGGGGCGCGCTCCGAAGGCAAGCCTCATCCTGGGTCGCCTCGTCCAGGAGCTTCGCCCTCGCCGCCGCCTGCTGCTCATACCACCAGGAGTGGGTCGGGCGCCACCTGCTGGCCTGCTCTGCGCGAAGCCTCTGGAGGGCGACAGCCAGGCAGCTCCTCAGGCGGTGAGTCAGCATGCTGTACTTCAGCCTGGCCTCACGCTGCACCAGCGCGCTGAAGGGCATGCGCCTGGTCTTGGGCCCTGCCGCTCGCCCAAGGTAGCGTGGCAGGTCGCCTGGCGCAATCTCGTGGATGCCCGTGAGGGTACCCTCCGCCGCCTCGGTCCACTCCCCGAAAGCAGCAGAGAGGCTGGTCGGGCACGAACCTTGAGCCCACGACCAAGCTACATCCTTCTGCGACGCCTTCCCGCGCTCGCCGACAGCGAAGGCCTGGACAACGGCGTCCTCGCGGGAGCACACGCCCTTGACCTCCACCTCTGGGAACCGAGCAGGACGGGGGGGCACCTCGACCAGGGCGTCGCACCTGACGTCCTGGAGGCGCAGCAGCACTGGAGAGTGCGGATGCAGCCCGAAGTCGTTGAGCGTGGTCGCGCAGGACACCGCGCACGTGGCAAGGTCGGACGAGGCGACGAACCAGTCGTAGACGCGCTCCAGGCCCTGGACAACGCAGGTCGCTTCAGAGGGTCCGAGCACCTGACCGCGAACCGCTGCAGGCCAGCCCAGCTCCTGCAGGGGCTCGGGCTCCATGTTGAAATCCGCCTGGATGACCCAGGGCAAGTCGAGCGAGAATGCCACGAGGCCCGAGACCGAGGAGAAGAGGTCGAGGTTGACCCCCCGCGGGCCCAAGGAGTGCTGGAAGTACCCTGCCAAGGCCAGGAGACGGAGGCCCGATGGCGCCGTCACCTCGACGCCGATGAGGCGGTGGCGCATGGCCGCAGGGAGCTGGCATGCTGGCCCCATCGGCCTGGAGTCCAGCCCTCACCAGGATCGCGACGCCGCCAGACGTGGCGTTCGGGCCAGGCTGGCCCGTCGCCACCGCCTCATGGAAGAAAGCGGCGTAGCCGAGGCGGCGTGCCAGCGCCCTGGCCCCAGGGAGCCGTTCGTGGGTTAGCCGCGTCTCCTGAAGGAGGACCAGTTGCGGCCAGTACTGGTGGGCGTGGAAGAATGCCTCGAGGACCTCGACGCTCCTGTTCCAGACGTTACCGTTGCAGCCCAGGACCTCCAGGCCAGCACGCAGGGGGCAAGGTCCTCGAGGGTCAGGCCCAGGGGCTGGCTGTGGCCCGAGGCGAGCCTTGCCAATGCAGGCCTCCTGCGCCGTCATCCTCGTCCTCTTGTCATTTGACACCTTTGCTTCGCTGCGCCCGTCGAGGGACTCGGCCACCCGCTCGTCAGCGGCCTCGACGGGGCGCGCGGGGGGGTGAGGGGCAACGGCCACCCGCCCGTCGGCGGCCCTCATCGCTCCCCCTCGGCCAGGTGCCGCACTCGCAGGTTCCCCAGGCCATGGGGACGGCAATGGGCTCCCCACTCCACTGGCACCTGCTCGCTCAGGCGCCGTCTGACCCTTCTGCTGTCAACCGACGACTGGCCTGCCGAGTCGACGTCAAACCCGACGCCGACCCACAGCAACATGGCCACCAGCAGCAGTAGCCAGCGGCTGGTCGTCGAGGAGGGCTGCCCCAGCGTTGGCCAGGTCCCTAGCCAGCGGCTGGGCTGAGGGCCACGCTCCGAGCGCCTCTCTTCGGCGTGCTGCTTGGCCGCGCTCGGCCGCGTCCTGCAGAGGGGGGGCCGATGACGCCCGCGCCCGCTCCTCCTCATCTCCGTCGAGGTCCTCGTCCGAGACGTCGAGGGGGGTGTCGGCCCAGGATGAGCGTCCTCTGGCCTCGGGGGGTGCATGCCTGCGTACCGCAGCAATCTGCTTGGCGACCTCGGCGAAGGCGGCCTCCCCATTGCCCGCGGCGAAGCCCTGGGGCAAGGCCTCGACCTGCTGGATGAGGCCGTGGACCATCCCGAGCAGGTCCGCGCCGACGAAGGCCGCGCCGACCTCCTTGGCCTGTCTGGCCTCTGCGGCCTTCTGCTCCTCGCGGTGAGCCTCGACAGCAGCACGGCGCTCCTCGACCGCCTCCGCGCATGCGGCCTCGCGCGCGATGGCCGCCCCACGCTCTCCGATGGCTGCCGCGTGGGCCTCCTCAGCTTTGAGCAGCGCCTGCTCCTTGGCCCGCCCCTGCCTGACCAACTTCCCCAGGGCGTCGCCAGCCCCGTGGAGCGCCTTGGGCAGGGGGGCGTCGGCCTTCCTGCGATCCGCCAGCGCCGCTTCGGCAGCCGAGAGCCTGCGCCGCTCTCGGGCGAGGGCCGCGCGCAGCGACTGCAGGCAACCCTCGTCGATGGACCCGCCAGGGGCCGCGAGGAAGTCCTCGATGCGCTTGACCTCCAGGCAGCGCTGCTCGACGGCCGACTGCTGCCCGCTGCTGGCCTCGCAGACTCCTGCCTGGCTGGCGGCCCCAGCGCTTGTCGCGCGGGCAGCCGTGCGATTGGCCTGGCGCCTCGCCTTCCTCCCACGGGGCTGGGCGACGAAGCCCTCGGCGTCGGCGACGGGCGGCTCCTGGCCGGCGGCAGCCGCGGGCGGCTGGGCTGCCTTGACCCACGGCGGGGCCACGCGGTCGCAGCCGCGGCACTTCCAGAGCGAGCACCAGTTCCACTCCCTGCACACGCCGCTGGAGCAGACCCAGTAGCTCCAGCTGCCCTCGGCCTTGCCGCCCGCCGCGGCGCTGGCCCAGGAGCGGCCCCCAGCTGCCTGCCCGTAGGCCACCATGGCAGGGCGGATCCCGACGAATGGCCTCGCGGCCCAAAACTTCGGCCTCGCGGCCCGCGCAGACGGCTCAAAGAACAATCACTTGTGAGCTGGCCCAAAGCGAAGAGCCCCTCGCGCTCAAAGCGCCGCGGACGACTCGCGGTCGTCGGGTGATCCATGGCCTTGAGCCAAAATGGCTACGGATATGTGTGTCTGTGTGTGTGTGTCCGGGTGTGTCTGTGTGTGTGTGTGTCTGCGTGTGTCTGTGTGTGTTTGTGTGTGTGTGCTTGCGTGTGTCTGTGTGTGTGTGTGTGTCTGTGTGTGTGTCCGTGTGTGCTTGGGTGCGCCTCTGTCAGTCTGAGTGTGTGTGTGTCTCTGTATGTTTCTATGTGTCTCTCTGTGTCTGTGTGTGTCTCTCAATGTCTCTGTGTGTCTCGGTGTGTCTCTGTGCGAGTCTCTGTGTGTCTCTGTATGTATATGTGTGTGTGTGTCTGTGTGTCTCCGTGTGTCTCTGTGTGTCTCTGTGTGTCTCTGTGTGTTTGTGTGTGTGTGTCTTTGTGTGTCTCTGTGCGTCTTTGTGTGTCTGTGTGCGTCTGTGTGTCTGTGTGTGCGTCTGTGTGTGTGTCTCTGTGTGTCTCTGTGTGCCTCTGTGTGTCTCTGTGTGTCTCCGTGTGTTTGCGTGTGTCTCTCTGTGTCTGTGTGTGTGGCTCTATGTGCCTGTGTGTCTGTGTGTGTCTGTGTGTGCGTCTGTGTGTCTGTGCGTGTCTTTGTGCGCGTCTGTGTGTGTACGTGTGTCTGTGTGTCTGCGTGTGTCTGTGTGTTTGTGTGTGTGTCTGTGTGCTTGCGTGTGTCTGTGTGTGTCTGTGTGTGTGTCTGTGTGTGTGCCTGCGCGGGCGTGTCTGTGCGTGTCTGTCTTTGTGTGCCTGTGTGTGTCTGTGTGTGTGATGCTCTGTGCGTGTCTGTGTGTGTCTGTGTGTGTGTCTGTGTGTGTGCTTGTGTGCGTGTCTCTGTGTGTCTCTGTGTGTCTCTGTGTGTCTCTGTGCGAGTCTCTGTGTGTCTCTGTGTGTCTCTGCATGTATATGTGTGTGTCTGTGTGTGTCTCGGTGTGTGTGTGTGTATATATATGTGTGTGCGTCTGTCTGCGTATGTGTGCGAGTTTGTTTGTGTTTTTGTGTATGTGTGTTGTGTGTTTGTGTGTTTGTGCATGTGCGTGTGTGTTTGTTTGTTGTTGGGTGTGTTTGTGTGTTTGCGTGTGTATTTGTGCGCGTTTGTTTATGCGTGTGTGTGCTTGTGTGTGTTTGTGTGTGAATGTTGATGTCTGCGTTTGTTTGTGTGTGGTTGTGTGTGTGTTTGCGTGTGTGTTTGTGTGTGTGCTTTTGTGTGCGTGTGTGTGCCTGTGTGTGGGTTTGTGTGTGGGTGTTTGTGTGTTCGTGTGTCTGTTTGTGTGTTTGCCTGTGTGTTTGTGTGTAGTTATGTGTGTGTTTGTGCGTGCGTGTCTGTTTGTGTGTGTTTGTTTGTGTGTGTTTGTTTGTGTTGGTTCATGTGTGTGTTTGTGCGTGTTTGTGTGTGTGTTTGTGTGTTTGTGTGTTTGTGTGTGTTTGTTGGTGTGCTTGTGTTCGTGTGTTTGTGTGTGGGTATGTGTGTGTTTTTCTGTGTGTTGTTGTGTGTTTGTGTGTTATTGTGTGTGTGATTGTGTGTTTGTGTGTTTGTGTTCTTGTGTGTGCTTTTGTCTGTTTGTGTGTGTGTGTGTTTGCGTGTGTTTGTGCGGGCGCTTGTGTGTGCGTTTGTGTGTGGTGGTGTGTTTGTGTGCGTGCGTTTGTGTGTGCCTGTTCGTGTCTGCATGCTGTGTGTTTGCGTGTGTTTGTGCGTGGTTGTGTGCGCGTTTGTGTTGTGTGTGTCTGTGTGTGTTTGTGCGTGTCTGTGTGTTTGTGGTATGTTTGTGTATGTGTCTGTGCGTCTGTGTGTCTGCGTGTCTGTGCGTCTGCGCGCGTGCGGGGGGGGGTGGGGGGGGGGGGGGGAAGGGGGAGAGGGGGGGGGGGGCAAGTTAGGTGCGCTCGCGTCAACATCTGACATCCTACCCCTCCCTCCCATCCCTTACCATGGCGCTGATTTTCTCTATCCGCGGACGCGTGTCGTAGCGGACCTGTGGCTCCGCGCGCGTGTGCGTAGTGGGTGGTGGTGCGCGTGCGTGCGTGCGTGTGTGCGTGGTTGTGGTTGTGTGGTGGTGGTGTGTATGTGTGTGTGTGTGTGTGCGTGTGTGCGCGTGTGCTGTGGTGTGACGTGGTGTGGCGTCTTGGTGGTTTGGTGGTGGGCCAGGCGCGTGCGTGCGTGATGGCGGTGGTGGTGGGGGCGGTGGTGGTGGTGGTGGTGGTGGTGGTGGTGTGTGTGTGTGTGCGCGTGTGTGTGTGTGTGT